TCATTCATAAAATCCACATCTAGCACAACTTGCCCCACTGAATTGCGAATAGAAACTAATCAATAAGCGATATCTAGATTACATATAGTAAACAGCTGAAATTGCAAATAGAAACTTAATATTCCATTTGAATAATGCTTCATAACAAGGAAAGGCAGGTACTCCCTGCTAATGGGAAAAAAATCTCAGAATTTCCTCGGTTACTTAAAAAGTTAAAAGGCACACATACCCCGATGGAAGTATATAAATAGAAATACCCAATTTTCGAAAGATGTTGTGAACATAAACAGATATTTAGAAGGAATAAAGGATCAAAATAGATCAATCAACTCACTCTTTCTCAAAAACCCCATAAATGATTTGTGAGTATGAATGTAGGATAAGAAAGCCAACAAATACAAACAATCTAAAATCCTCCAGCAGTAACACACCTCGGGTTTATTTTTAATGTTCTTTGCCCTGTGTGCATAATCCAGTGTGCTCAACGTTTCCTCTAGGCAATGAACAGCTGGAGAAACAGTAGCTATGATGCAAGTCTTGGTTCTCCCCCCAAGTGAATCACGCAGTAAACGTGTCAGCTTGCTATCCCTAAATTCCAATTTTACAAAGATTATATGCTTATTACATGCACAGACACATGCCCACTCACAAAGATATGGAGAAGGACTAAATCGTTTTCTATCGTGAAACTAAATCAAACATTGCAGGAAAAAGAACCTGTAAGGAACGTGGCCAAGGTGCTCCACAAGAGCACTAATCACCCGCCCTAAAGTAAGCAAACTTTTATTAATTTCCCCAGCTTCTCTTGCACGACCCTAAAAAAAAAAAACAAGATCCCCCTAATCAAGCTTAATTTCCGAGACAACCCAAAAATGAATATCAAGGGGAACATATGTTCATTTGCGTCAAAGAGTAATACCTCTCTAGCACCGGAACGAGATATATTTTCTGAGCCTGCTAGATCCACTAAATTCAGCTTTCCACATTTTATTAGTTCTTCCCCTTCTGGGGTTGCTTCCTTTATGTGAATTGTTATAGAAAACAAGGAATGTGACCGACTGAAAAAGAAGAATTAAATCTCAATAAAAGACTGAAACTTGTAATCTGTCTAAGCAAGAGACAAAAGGCAACAGTTACCTTGATTGCTTGTTCAATAAAGTTTCTGCAGTACGTCGTTTGGCAGAGCCTCTTTCCAAAAGAGTGAAGATCTCGGTAGCACTTGTCACAATTTCTTCCTCCAAACCTCTTACAAGAACTCCGCCTTTACCATCTTCCATGAGAGGCAGCTGCTTTTTCTGCTTCTCCTCCAAAGCAACTCTTGAAATTTCATCAGGGGCGAGCAAATCAGTGATCTCCTCATTATACAATTCTAGAAAAGTGACCTTCACGCTATACTCAGCATTTTGGCTCTCAAGCGTATCAAAAATCTGTTGAACAGCCCTCGGTATGACTCCAGCGTCTGAAGGCAACTCTCCATTCAGCCCACTCTGCAGTGGTTGAATAAACTTAGTGAGCATGAACTATGAGTAAGCAAGTCGTACTTGCACTAAACATTTTGAGAACGCACTGAATTATACCTTTGACCTTTTGCAATCACCTTCCATTGTGTATGTTTTCCCCGTGCCAGTTTGACCGTACGCAAATATAGTACAATTAAAACCCTCAAGAACTTCATTTACTATCGGAATGATAGCCTGATCATAAAGATCTTTTTGCTTTGCAGAAGGACCAAAAACCTGCGAAATATGCCATGGATCATTTGGAGCTCCTGACGGGCTTAAACACCACATTTCTGACATTTATTCCTCAAAAAAAGTTAACCAAAGTGCAATTTGTTGATTCAAAGTCTTGGCAACATAATGCATGAGCCTAAAAATGTGTTCATATTCTCAATCTCAAAGACGTGTCCCTGGCAATCCTCACAAAGAAAGGCTAATAGTAACTGTAACAATGTTAAGCAGGTTGATTGATGAATCACTACAGAACTTGACGAATACCTGGTTTTCAACCAAGCGATCTTGTATTTCTCATCGAGGAAAAAACACAGGCAAGATAAGCAAGAAGAACTACAGAAAAACTAATCCAAGCAAAATCCTTAACCATGACTTCAATAACATCTCTCGGCATCGCTCATTTTCAATGTAATGAACTTGTTGGAGGGGGACCATTTCATTTTTTTCCCATAAAAATTTCCCCGCAACCTGCGATTCCTTTTGACCGTATAGAACCCACATGCCAATGTTGCAAAAAAACAAACCAAAGTAGATAAACGTAAGTGGGCTACCTGTAGAAAGCTAGTTTTCACAGTGAATATAAAAAAAAGGAAATTAGTGGGCGGTAAAAATTGGATAGAAAGAAGCACCTTATCAAATGTGAAAACTCTGTCTATATGTTTGCCGGCAATGTTCTGAGACACCGCTACTTCTCTTGTGTATTCATTGCAGGTGACAACCTGCGGTGCATTGGTCCGCAACTCTTCCTCGCTAAACGGCCTGGAATTTACACAATGAACCAAAATGTTGCCTCATTAGTCGAAATGTCGAGAAGCTGTGAAGATAAATGCACAAAAGGTCATCGTGTACACAGACAGGAATACCTGCAACGGAGGAGAACCTGAACATTGACGCCCTTCTCTTTGTCGTTGCGAGAGGACATTGTGGGTCAAAGAGATCAAGAATCACACGAACCTTCACTCTTTCGTTAGTAGATCGGCTTCTGCACTTCGTTTCTCTATATCTCTCTCTCTCTACCCGGCCTTCGTGAATCGGTAGGAGAGCGGGTGTGCTTGAGATTTGAAATTTTTGAGAGCCGCTCTCGCCTTTTATTTCGTATCTACGGCTCAGATGTTCGACTTCCGATCTGACGGTCCTTTTGAGACTGTTCAAACAGGGTATTTCGGTGTGACCATTTTACCCCTGGATTTTGAATCACGCATGCAAATTTCCCTTGGAATCAATTGGGCTACTTTTGACACGCAAATTAAAAAAAAAAAAAAAAGGTTGGGGTACTAAATGGATGGATTAAATTATTCACCGGGAAAAGAACAATGCAAAATTTAAAGTGAGCACCACGAGCTCAATTGGGCTCTTGCATTTTTCTGTGAAGTTGGATTGGGCTGTCAATTGACAGCTCGGCCCACTATAAAAAAACTTTGAAACAAAATAACACTATTTTTTTAATATTTTTAAACTCAACATAAATAACCCACCGCCTAACAGTGTTATTACTGGACACACAAACTTTTATTATCAAGTTTGGCTTTAAAAAAGCAAAAAAAAAACTCTTTAGGCCTGGTGAGATATACTGAGATGTTATTTATGAATTATTTTCAACATATTTCATTATAATTAATGAACATTTTAAAATTTATTAATTTTGTTTCAAGGTTTAATAATTTTTTAACTTTCCACTATTAAATATAATATAGTTTAATAACATGTTTTCTTCTGTCAGTATTTCATGGGAGTACAAGTAAAGTTTCTAATAAAAATTTAAAATGTAACATATAGATGGGATAAAAAAAAAAATCTTCGATAGATATGATTAAACGGGGTAGCTTGTGACGATATCGCTGAATGATATTAAGCCAGATTTATTAGCTTTTTACTTACAAGTGTCTAGTTAGCAAAACGCATGATGCCTTAAACATGCCACATGCTTCAGTAAAAAAGTAAGGATATCAATCGCTACACATTTCTGGACATTGTGATGCGTGCTATCTTTCATGAATACTTTCAATGATAAAACTGTTCTTTATCCTAAAATCAACCCAAAGTGAATAATCAATGTCATTCTTTATCATTTTAAAGACAGTATTGCAGTGATTTTGACTTCTATTGGATAACATTATTTTAATAAATAGTTAAAGACACACAACAGTTTTTAAGTCTATCTGGATTTCTCTCAAGAGTTCATTTAAATTATATTCAGGACATATTTTTGTCAAATTTAATAAATAATTGCTCTTTCCAAATAATTTTTTTTTATGAATGTAAATTAAAAACCAAATATACACGTTGTATAAAAGAGTTAGGGGCAAAAATAATTTCTAATCCATACAATGCACACTAGGCTATATAAGAATAACATTAATATTGATTTTTCATAATTATTTACGAACAATGAACAATATTATTATTTATATATTTTATATTATACACATCCCTTCCCCTAAATGAAAGTTACTTTTAATTATATCATCAATGGTTAAATAATTAAAATAGTTTAAAAATAAAATAACTTTTTAAATTTAATTTATCCATATTTAAAAAGATGAACTTAGAAAAGTCATAGAAAATTGTAATCAACGCTTATACTTAAAAATGGCTAGTCAATATCCTTTTTTTAATGCAAAGCCACAGCACAGCATACACGACAATCAATACGTTCCTCCTATCCGATTGACTAAACCTTGGATCCTCTAAGATGCATACAAAGGACGCCAAAAAATCCAATCCCTCTGAAAGACTGCCCAACACGTTATCCTCTTATCCTTTTCGGATCTTGGACGAAAGAGCGAGCACCACAAATCCAGGGAAAAATTATCAAATTAACAATACACAAACATGACGGGACTTACCAGGGGTCAGGAAAGGGACCTACGCAGCCTATTTTTCCTGCGGGAAGTGATTGCATTCACTGTCTCGTGTTTGAAAATATGACATTTTATCTTTGACTCCAGTGCACGCACGTTGAACTTTATTAACTTAACCTCGAGGATTTAAAATTCACAGCGTTTTTCTCATCCCAACAAAATTTACATCATTTATACACTTATAAAATTTACTAAATTTATTCAAAAATCCTAAACAACCATAAATACAACACGTGGAACTACAAACCAAGCGACATACTCCTATAGTTTGAACCCGAGTGACCTAAAACAACACGTCAAAAAGTTTCAAGTACCTCCTCATCTATTTGACAAAAAAAAGAAAGAAAGAAAGAAAGAAAGAAAAATAGAGCGTGTGTATTGACATCAGGGGATCAGACTATCATTTTTCAAGTTTCAATTTCCTCGAATACAAGAAGCTTCTGTCGTTCATTGGGTCATTTTCCCCAGCTTCTTGCGCCAAGACACAATTCCAACGTCAATTAGAAAAATCGAAATGGGCTCCACGGCTCTCAATCAGCTGTAGGTATCGACCGTGGCTTCAATCTTGTTTCTTTCTTCCTTATCGTCGTCTACAATTCTAGCCTTCCTTACTTAATATATCCCGTGGCCTCAATGCTGCATCATCTCCCGCAACACCGGTGAAGAGGGACACCCTCCTCCCGCCCCCGATGCCTGAACCCACTTCTCGACCCGTCGGCGGCACCGAGTACAGCTGGTGCAAGTCCGTCCTCTCTGGCACCGGGATTACAGTTCTCGGTCTCCTCCTCTCCAAATCCCCTGACGTCTCATTCCTTCAAACTGCACTCCGCAATCTTCAAAATTCCCACCCTATCCTCCGCTCAAAACTCCATCTGGACGCCTCTACCAACACCTTCCATTTCATAACTCATCCTGATCCTCACATCCAAATCACGCCCTTTGATCTGCAATACACGTCTCGCATCATCGGGAGTGAATCAAACGATCACCCTATCAGCCCCTTCCATCGGATCCTCGAGTATGAGCTGAATCGGAACTCGTGGCGTGATCATAGCGGCTCAATGCCCGCTGACGCCGACGTCTTCCATGCGAGCCTCTACGCGGTAAGCGATTGCCAATGGGCTGTGTTTTTCCGGCTTCACACGTCAGCATGCGATCGTGCGGCGGCGGTGGCGCTGCTGAAGGAACTGCTGGAGCAAGTGGGTGGAAGAGTAAAAGAAGGGAAAGGGACGAAGATGGAATTGGGGAGAAAAGAGAAGATCAGGTTGGCGATCGAGGATCTCATTCCAGAGGGGAAGGCCAACAAGCGATTTTGGGCGCGTGGATTGGACGTGCTAGGATATTCCTTGAACTCCTTTAGGTTCGCGAATTTGGATTTCGTGGATGCTGATTCCCCGAGAAGCTCTAAGGTAGCCAAATTGCAGTTGAACACGGACGAAACAGAGAGGCTAATTGCTGTGAGTTATTATTTCTTATTCCCTGTGATAACTCATGCAACGTTAATTAATAATTGTTTTATCCATCAATCCTATCAAGAACAAGAAAATTTTCCTTGGATATTATTTTTATTAATTGCGTCAACAAGTCTGTCGTTTATATTTTAAAAAATGCTTCTCGAAGATGAGAAGGGTGTGGATAACTCTGTTCTGTTCTGACTCGGAAGGGCCTGGGAGGAGGGGGGAATCACATGTCGCAGTGATCTGATTAGGAATGATGGTTTGGCCAAAAGATATTTGGACCGTGAGAACTAAATCAATTTGATATCATAGTAATGAATTGTTACTTTGTGAAGGAAAATTCAGTAGTGTGATGCTGGAATTAAATTTACAGTGTAAATTGCTATCTGAACGACCCATAATCATGAAACTGCTGTAGTCTTGTGGTCCTCTCCAAACCCATAACTTTTTGGGGTAGATTAAGTCCTTTATATCCTTATATTATATTTACTGGCAAATGTGTGAGTATACCATGTCATCTAGTAAGTGTTTTTTTTTTTTTTTTCAATACGTGTCATACTCAAGTACGATTCCTTTTAGAGTGACCAAGTTTCTCTGGCCAACAAAAGGGGGCAAAAAAAAGGGTGGCCAAGTTTCATAGCAATGTTGCATTAAGTATCAAAGGATCCATAATCTGTATGTTTCTGACTTCTATGATATCTGACATGATATGCTACATCTGCCTTTTGCATGTGATTTGGTAATGTGATGATTCAGTTTAATTATGCAATATGTAGGGATGTAAATCAAGAGGAATCAAGCTTTGTGGGGCACTTGCGGCAGCTGGAATGATCGCCTCATGGGCGTCTAAGCACCGTCCTGATTATGAGAAAGAGAAATATGCCGTAGTAACTCTCGCTGATTGCCGCACAATTCTTGATCCAATCCTTAACAGCAACGATCTTGGTAAGCCACGCAAATGAGTGATGCATTAAGTTTGAAAATGAAGTTTTCTTATATCATTTTGAAGTAATTTATTGGACACTAGTTCTCTTGTCCTGTACCCTGAGTCAAGACCAAAACTGTCATCTAGATTTGTGATACTTATCGGCTATGTGCCTAGACTCAAAATTTTCAGCATCAATCTCTGTACTAAGAGCTTAGATTTATGGAGCAATATGGTCCCCTGGCTGCTTTTCTAACTAATGGCTTGTTTGGTTCAGGATTTTATCATTCTGCTATCTTAAACACACACGATGTGGGCGGAGAAACTCTTTGGGAGCTGGCAAAGAGAAGTTACATGGCCTTTGAAAATGCCAAGAAGTGCAACAAGCATTTCACAGACATGTCTGACCTCAACTACCTAATGTGCAAAGCCATTGACAACCCGGGCTTGACGCCATCCTCGTCACAGAGGACGGCCTTAATTTCAGTGTTTGAAGACCCTGTCATTGAGGATTCAGCATCAGATGAAATGCATCAAGAGGTTGGGTTGGAAGACTATGAGGGCTGCTCTTCCGTCCATGGCGTGGGGCCATCCATAGCCATATTTGACACCGTACGGAGGGGAAGATTGAATTGCACATGTGTATATCCCTCACCGCTTCACTCTAGGGAGCAGGTACTAATGCTAGTCGATCATATGAAGAAAATCCTAGTGAATGCTGATAACTTTGATGGATCAGTAAATTGAACTGTCATGGCTATCGTATGTTGACCAATTCATTGCCCAGCTTTACCCCGCGAGTCAATGAAGTTGTGAATTCTTACATGATCTATTGAGAACAAATATTTTCCCATCAGGAAAATGAGAACAGTTGAATCAAAGATGCCATGACATCAGAAATATAAACTAATGTTTAGTGACTAGTGAGACCGAAGATGCCGCCTTGCCCCTCAGAACTAGAAATGGCTGTTTTTCATGTTTATTTTTGTTTCCAACTTCAACAAATCTTATAAATGAATTAAGTTACTACCTGTAAAATTTCCAAGACAGGCATAACGTTCAAGAAATTAAAACCTAATCGCCGAAGTAAACTGATCTCCTATTTAAACCTTTCTCGTCCTGACGTTGTGAAGTTTAGGAGTAGTCTCGAGAACAATAAAACTGGGGGAAAGGACTAAGATCCGTTATGCTGATGGGTGGAACCAGCCGGGTCAATGTATTTTCCTTTCTGATGTGTGTGTGTCTCTGTATGTCTTTATTTGGATACAAGAAAATTTGGCAAGTCGTTCTTCACTTCGCCCACAGACTTGCAGAAAAGTCTGTGTTCTCCCCGTGCGTGCATTTAATTAGTCAGCATAATTTGGCCGAGGCTTAGTTTGGGGGCTCTCTCACGTTACGTTTCCAATTTCTCACGCTTTCAAGACATCAAAATATAAGGTGGTGGTAAGCTCACTGAACTAAAGCGAACAGAGCTCAATACGTAAAATGTTAATTTTCCTAAACATTTGTCCAAATGATTGGATGAAGATTTCAGAATGAAAAGATCGCGAACACAGATGAAAAGTCTTTGTGGCCAGTTGATTAGATCACTGAGACCAGTTATGACAAATGAGAAAGAAGGGAATGTGCTTGTTGAAGTAAGCAAACCGAACTTCAAATTTCACTATGCCGGAAACTAGTTACATGTCAGACCATTCCTACTCGAAAACTGTCTGCTTCAGCAGCTTCCAGTGAACTTTATAGCAAGGTCATGCTTTATACGAGTGTGTGTCTCCTACTTCTAGATAGAGAACAAGGCTTGCATATAGCACTGCAAATCAAAAGATATTATCTCTAGTTCTGATTGAAAGGAAAAGGAAAGAGCTTCTTGTCACTGCAGTTCAAGGGAACTCGTCAAAAATTTTGGCCAAATCAAACCTCCCGTTGCTGCATTCTATTGCACTTAGCACCTGCCGAAACGTTGAAACACTGCAGGGAACAACCAGGCCGTTCTTCTGATCAAAGCCATATTCGTCGTATGCCTTGTCCAGCAACATCTTGAACAACGGGTGAGAGAGATAGCTGGTTGGAACGACGTGTCGTCGACGTTCCTCCCCGACATAGAGTGCGAAAAAGCCAGTCGGGGTTCTGTTATATGGGGTTTCTTCGTCGTCGCGTCCTTTAAGCAGACACTCATGGTAGACAGGCTCTGGGTCAACCCCACCAACAGCCTTCACCTTTTTGGCCAATTTCTTAAACGATATCATCGATCTGCTTCCCTAGCAAGGGACGCTGAGGAAGAAGAATCAGAGTTCAGAAGATTGCACATATGCGTTTTGTCAAGGAAGGATTTAGTTTTTATACATGTGAAAGTGAAGTGAGTAACGCATGCATTGGGTCGAAAATTTGAAAGTGTCACGTCTTGACTTTTGAATATCTGGGAATCTTTGACATGTGAACATTTTTAAGGTGTATCGAAGGAAACATTCTTTTTTAAAGGTATACAATACTGATGAGGTGTCAAGTGGTTGTTGGATGAGGTTGACCGAGGAATAGTTAAAAAGATAGAAGATAGTATTATCTCACATGGTAAAAACAATAGAATAGCCATTAGTAGCGGGTGGCACGCCCAGTCGCAAACGCCATCGAGCGAGCAGTACAAATGGTGGAGAATTGGCGGGTTTCTATGCCACATTTGTCGGCTGTAAGTAATTCTCTGCGACCGAGCGAATGAGTCAATTCAGCGAGTCAACGACGGATAGCACCAGAATCGCCTTAAAACCAATCAAATCCATATAATAATAAAATAAAAAAGAAATCTCTTTTAATTTTTGTTTGACCACAAAATAAATGATTGCTATCACATAGTTGTGGCCCTGGTAAAAAATCAAAGCTTTGACATTGTTGTATTGTGTGCTTGATGGAAGGTCTGCCATCCATTAAAAATGATCGCACCGCACTTGCGTGCTAATATAACGAAGTCGGCAATAATGAGAGGTCCGATCCATTGCCACGCATCAATTATGATTAATTTGAAATCAACATGGCCATGTCTCAATTGAATTGTTTACCATCGTGGAAAAGGAATAATGCAGATGTGACTATATATAGAATATACTGTGCCGTTTCCATTTATAGCAGTTTTTCTTTCATTTTGTTTATTTAAATATGTTACGTGTAATTATTTTTATTTAAACATGCACGGGACCCATAACTGGTGGATGTCTCGAGTTCAAGATTCAACGGATCGCGGATCACCGCACATAGGCCGAGACGCTTGTTAACGAGGTTCGCATCTCAATACTGTAGTGGTTTTTGGCCAGTAGAGAGGAGATTACATAAAACAACAGCAAAGGTTCGACAATAAACAAAATAAACAAATGAAAAAAGAAAACTAACAAAATCATCTGGAATCCCTGAAATAAGAATGATCAATCTCTAAAATTCTTTGCAGAGTAATTGAGGGTTTAACAACTCAATCCAGAGAAGAGAGTTTCTATAACAAAGCCTTTCCGAACCAATTTGCCACTGTATCAGCTCCCCTAAAAGCCCAGAGGAACAAGCAATCATAATGTCATATTTAAAGTTCAGAATTAAAATGAAGATTCCGACACCAAATGGGAAATAATAAAAAATTAAAGGACAGTATTCACGAAGGCAAAATTTAAATTTGTTTCGCAAGAGCTTGTCAAAACCATGGCAACATTTACTGTTCTATAAGCACTTTAAATATATGATACATTGCTTATCAATTGCGGTTTTATATTGCTGATAGATTTAAACTTGTCAATGACCTTATAATCCAGGGACGTGTAACTTCTTCTATAAATAGAAGGTCATGGATTCAATCTACTTGTAATTTCAATTACTAGTATCTGTTTCTCTGACTTTAATAATTTATGTTTTCAGATTCATAGTTCCCCCCACCAAAAAAAAAAATTCACAGGCCCCTTTACACGTGGGTGATGTTAATAATCGGACTAATTCTTGCTGATGTGTTGTCCTGTGTTAAAAAAAACTTTTTACCAAAAAAAAAAGCTCATATGAAAAACACTAGAAAAAGTATTGAAAAAATTAAAAATTTAAGTATATATTATGATATTGATTGAAAGTTTTGATAAGAGAAATTAATGCTCTCGTTAAAAAATGTTAAATTGAGTCAAAGATTACACTCATCTTCAAGAGAAATACATAAAATTATTGACAATGCTTGTGACAAACACGGTTACTGATAGAAACCTTTCAAAACTAAAATTGATTACTATCATATCATAATTGGTAATATTATCCATTGAAAATGAAATGTTAAAATTACTCAATCATAAAACATGAGTAATTTTGCAACTGAAAAAGGGGAGGGGAACAATATAAAAATATTAATAAGAAATTTCTATAGTCTTCTTCAGCAACTTATGGAATGAATCCATAATTAACTGCCCGCCCTACTTCATCCAGCACTCACCCCATAGAAAAAAAAAATTGTCAAGTTCTAGATCCATCCCTGAATTTCATGCTAAGAGCAAACTTCGCGTGCTTCTAATCCAAATCACTTGAGGTGGTAACAGGTGAGCCCACTGAAATAGTTCATTCACTGAATAGCGTTCAATATTAAACGGATTCCAAAAATCCACAACCCATCCTGTCCTTATAATCTGAACTCATTGATAATTCAGAGTCCACGTGAGAGTTCAACGAATATGAAAATTAATTGATTCCAGATTGGTGTTAGGATCTCGCTCAATCTTTCTCGTTCGGCTTAAAGGTAATTGCCAATCTTAAAGAGAGAGAGAGAGAGAGAGAGAGAGAGAGAGAGAGAGAGAGAGCTGTGGTTGACCGGGAAATTGAGTTCATTCACGGGAATGACAGAGGACTTAGAGGGCTTGCTGGCACAATACGGGTAGTTTTCCGAATGCAGATTTCATGAAAAGTTTGAAGAAATATGAATGTCTTACATATTTTTAGAGAAAAAATTTCAATAAAGACCCTTATATTATACTTATTTCAATTTAAAACTTCTAAATTTTTTGAAATTTTGCTGGAATTCAGGAAAAATAATTTGATATTAATTTTTTTTAAAATAATAAAACTATCTCTCATTTAAACTAATATAAGAATTATACTGCTTCACTTACTCAATTATTTACATAATATTATTAATTACTATATTTCACTTGTTCATTTTTTCTAAAATAAAATCAAGTGACAATTTGATAATGGACAAATAAAATAAGATAAAAATAACATGCAGTATAAGAACTAACAATTTATCTTGAAATGATTTAAATACTTTAAATAAAAATAAGTAAAGTAACGTAATAAATAACATTTTGTAAATAAATTAACAAGTGAAATAGAATAATGATTAAGTGAAATAAAATTCTAATATTAATATAAATGAAAGATAATTTTATTATTTTTTTAAGAAATTTAATATCAATCAGTATCTTTATATTGCAATAAAATTTTAAAAATATAAAAACTTTAAATTTAAATAAATATGATGTAAGGGTCTCTAGATTTGTGCTTGTCCGTTTGCAATACGAAGCATATATTAGTTTCCTTTTATATTGTCAAAACAAGATCTTAAATAATTTATTAAAACTTTTATTTGCCGGCCTTAGTAGGCCGTGGGTGTTTGGTCTAGTGGTATGATTCTCGCTTCGGGTGCGAGAGGTCGCGAGTTCGATTCTCGCAACACCCCACATATGCCTTTTACCCTAGATGGGTCATTTTTTTTTCCGTACCCTTTGCCAATTAGGAGACACGTCGGCCCCAATAATCAATACTAGGGTTTCGGCGCGCCGGGTTTTAAATTTTCATGCCTCAAATCTTCTCCGTCTCAACGCTCCTCTTTTGCTGAAAACTTAACACCACCATGAGCAGGTCAGGCCAACCGCCGGATCTGAAGAAGTAAGCATCGCTTTCATCGAGTCGTACCTCAATCTGATTAACACATTTGTATTCTATATATAGTTCTCATTAATCGGAGCAGTACTAATCTTTTCTTATTCTTTTCTCTGTGGGATTCGACAGGTATATGGACAAGAAGCTCCAAAGTAAGTTTGTTTTTGTGTTATTCGAATTCTCTATTTTTCTTAGGAGTCGTCTTGGAACTTACTCGTGGCAACTGAAGTATTCAGTATTCTGGAGTTGGTTTTGCCTTGGTAGTTTTTGCGATCTATCGTTCTAATGTTGTTTGTATCAATTCAAAGTTCGTTTGAGAGCTAGTCGAATGCCCTAGATTTTCATTTGGGATTCATCAGTATCGCAAAGAGCATATTTCACTATCTTGTTCCTAGTTTTGGAACTACCAGAACCTTCGTTGCTCAATCATCAGCTCTCTAGATTGTTGTGATTATATTTACTTGATAGCTGATAATATTTAGTTTATTTAGCAAATTAACTGTTCAAATATTGTAGCCTACTTAAGAAGTGAATTATTAAGTATGAAATTTTGTGCCAACAAAATTGAAATAAGTATCAATTGGGGGCGTTAATCTGTAAGAACCCATGGCGGAACCTTGATGAAGCTGTCTATAGCTGTCTGGGACTTGAAAGTTAAGATATGATGCTCAAAGGTGGCAAGACCTAATGGTTATTAGATTTCTGAATTTGGTTTAAGTTAACTGATGATAATGTAAAACAAACAGTGCCAACAAAATTATTAGAGATGGAGCTTGAAATATCCACATAATCGTATGAAAGAGTCTGTTTACAGCTTCTCTATTAGTTTGAAGCCTATTTCATATTGATATCTTGTGAGCATGTTCTTGTCTCTTCCCCCCTCCCTAAGTTCATTTGGTCTTGATGAGAATAAATTATTAACTTCCTACAAGACGCGGAGGTGGGTGCCCCAAGCTCCTCATGATCTGATCATCCGCACCTGAGGCAGGTACCTTGGCCCCACCTTGGAGCTGGTGAGGTGTCGAGCTGGCACATGTCCTGCCTCTGCTTCCATTCCTAGTGCAGCACCTATGCTATCTTTGACTTTAATTGTTTGAAACAGTCAAATAGTTTGAAGAAGTTATATTTGTGTGAAGACTTTGTTTCATGTCTGAATCTGCGGGCTTGGATCCCCCCTTTCCCAATTTCAATATTTTCTGCTTATCATCCATGACTTCTGTTTTGAGGCGTGCATGTGTTCATATGGTTAAACCTATGAAATCACCCTAAAATATTTATGCATGTGGTGTCTCCATGCAGTTAAGCTGAATGCCAATCGTATGATCATTGGCACACTTCGGGGATTTGACCAGTTCATGAACCTAGTTGTTGACAATACTGTGGAGGTGAATGGCAACGAGAAAACTGACATAGGGATGGTGGTAGGTTCTTGTTCTTTCCATTCTCTGCTTTACAATCAGTATTAAAGATCTTCCAGCCTCTAGCATGTAAATCCTATTGATTTAAGTTGTGTTTATGTTCCCTACTGCTGCAGGTTATCAGAGGAAACAGTGTAGTCACTGTCGAGGCACTTGAACCTGTTAACAGGACGCAGTGACTTCTGGTTCATCTTCACAATTATCATGTTTCATTTGGTGTGCATTTGAAATAGGAATTGTTGAGATATGCTAATACTGGATCTTCATGCTGGCGATTGTGTGCAAATCAATTCTGTCAGCTCAGAATACCTTTAGAATGACCTAGCTTGACAAAATTATGGTTATATATAACTTTTAGTTGGATTTGAATTTTAATGTATTGCATTTTTGTGCGAGCGAGCGGGCATATAATATATATTTGCGTTGCCAGCTTATTTGTTATAGTAAAGGCACACGTTATTCTCAACTCAAGCATTGGTGTTCTTGGGTATTAAACATGAAATTTGGCTCGTCCTCTCTGGGTTGAAAGCATTGGAAGCGGAGACTCAGCGTCCAACGTCTGCATTTCTCCGGCCTTCGGCTCAATCCCAACGTCTACTCTCCAAACTTCCTTTTGTTCGCCCGAACGCCTCTGATCCAAGCTGTCTCTCGATAATACCAGTTTTGCTCTTCGTCTCCTTTTCTTGCTATCTGATCATCCCTGTGCCGAACCTCCAAAATGCTCTTCCGTTTTGTGGCTTCTCTGCAAACTGTTCAGTGCATGGCTATGGTGAAGCTATCCTTGCCTCTCTGGGAGCTCCTCTGGTTCTTAGCGGCTACCCCGCTCATTTTTAGTGCCTTTTGTTCTTTCGATCGTTGAATGATTGAAACTGTTAACGCCAGAGCGAAGGGTTGAGAGTAAAACAGACTTCAACTAACGCAACCAGCTCTGGTATGCTGGGAAGAATGAATTATCGTAGAATCTGAAAGAGATAATCGAGTACATAAGATTTATTCCAAGAGACCCCTAACGGTAAAAGTCTTCCCTTAAAGTTGGTTTTTCAGTATATTTTATTAAGGTTCCATCAGGCGGGAAGCCAAGAAGTATATCATAAAAAAGGCTCCCGCGAGCCGCTAGGTACAGTTTCTTGCGACTTAGTGCAGCGGGCGAGATTCAGGTCCAGGGTGTCGTTAAACGCAGGATTCTCTAGCCTCTACCTCTCGGCTCTCAGGGCTCCTGCTGTAAAGTAACTCGCAGTATCTTCCTTTAACATTGTGTCCGTTGAGAAAAAAAAGTTATTCCCCCCTCTAACCCCTCAAGAAAATCATACAAGTCTTTCCTTTTTGCTTCGACAAAAAGTAATGTACCTCCCTGTTTCCTCCGGTTCATCATTTTTTTCCCTTTCAATTGCTGTTTTCATTTGGACCGTGTTTGGTGACACTTGCTCCGACAGATTACCAATATGTCCAAGCGACCGCCACAATTTCACTTACTTGAGCAACATTTACTTGCTTGTCCTATCCGATGTACTGCTTTTTTTTTTTTTTTAAAGATGTTTCTAGGATTATAATTAGAGAACTAGTAGCTTTATTATTATGGCCTTTTATGAGTAGTAGCCACCCCCCGACTGCACCATTCACGCCCCCGAAACCGATTTGAACTCATCATTGAATCAAGAGTCTGTAAAAAAAAAAAAAATCAAAGTTGACATGGATAGAAGCAATTGAAGTTTAAATGATTTGGAATTCGAGTGCATCATCTAGGTCATTTGATAACGAAGTTAATGCTTTCAGAGGATAGAAACTTGCTGTAAGCTGTACTCGACATGATTAAGAAACAACGAGGCCAGGCAGCGAAAAATGGAAAGCTATCATGCAGATGACATAGTTTTCCCCCCACTAGGAGATTTTCATTTTCCGATGTTATAGTGCCCTTGTGTAATGTCCGTAAACATTCTTATCTTTTTCTTCTGTTTTCTCGCCTAAGGGAACCAAACAATCAAACGACATCGATGGCGAAGTTTAAGGACAAAGGGAGACAGCATGATAAAATCGGTGGACCACGATATTCATAGTAACTTTGCATTATTGGAGTTACTTGTTTAATAAGACAAAAGTTAGGAGTCAAGGGCTTGGCCAGGGCGCCTTAAATGTGTACACTGAAATGGCCACACAAATTTATGCACAAGGATGAAATTAAGACGAAAAGATTAAAAAATTGGACAATTCTCCGAAAAGGTAAGAAATGAAACCTTTGGTGCCTCTTTCTAGCTTGTCAATATCATTGAATAATTAGTTTAAATTAAAAAAATTAATTTTTTAATCCTTTAACTTTTAATTCACTTGTAACTCAATCTCTCAAAGCATAACTCGTTGCAACTCAATCTTTTCAACTTTTTACTCATCTATCACTCAATCTCTCAACTTTTCACTTGTCTATAATCCAATTCTTTAACTTTTATTAATTTTTTTATGCTAGCTTAGATCCCACATTAAAGAGTAAGAGGATGATATTTTAGAATAAGACATGAACATTTTTTTATCTTTCTTATTTAATAGAATAATTTTTTAAAAAAATTTAAAAAATAAAGACTAAGTTATAAATAAGTTAAAAGTTGAGGGACTGCATGAGAATTAAAAAATTAAGTCATGGCAAATCATATTTAAAGGGTTGAGTTAAAAGTTAAATGATTAAAAAAAATAATTTTCTCCTATTAGTTTTAAATTGATCACTCCCATGGCATTCAGTATTCACGTGTCATTCTTCTTAAAATGGACGTTAATCAAGGGATCAAAGAACAGTGGCATGGATAAAGGAAAAGGAAAAACACGCCTGTGATTTTCAGCATTCTCTAACCAAGTTTTGTGCTTCTTAGCATTGCTTCAATGGGTAACGTAGGAAACATCATTGCCAGCTCTATGATGCCGTGTTACGACGTTGCTTTGAACCTTGCTAATAACGTGTCTGATGACCTCGTTAATATGAGATCATATAGTGCTTTGAAGGGGTGAAGCCCACTTTGACCTTAGTAAATTTCTGACCCCACTCAATTTTCTTTTTAATGTAAAAAAAATCAAAACTTGCCAACTCTATAATACTGTGAACTAATATTAACCCCCCCCCCCCAACAAAAAAAAAAAAAAAAAAAAACCCTGCACATAGGTATCATTAAACGAACTCCTTGTCCCGCTCCGTCATTATTCTTTTCCCTTTTTCCTCTTACTCCACCATCTCTGTCCAACCACCTCTCTTTCTTATCTCTCGTTACAATCTTCTGATCCTTTTTCCCACGCGAGAATCTGGACCCACTCCCTTCTTTTTGTCCCTCCATGACCTAAAGCCAGCCAGAGGAAGGTACAGTGATGATGAAATCGTCTCACCTTCCAAAACCCTTTCTTGAATCAAACTCCACTCCACCATATTCATACCAAAATCTTGGCTTTTCGCGCACAACAGAATAAACAAAGACTTGGCCTAACCGCCTAAGTGCTCCAATATGACTGAAATACTCCAATCCCCATCTCACTTACCTTCAACCTCAAGCTCTTCTAGTCCATGTGGGCGAATCACACCCAATGATGGGTCTCATTCAAGCTCCCTCATAAACAGTCCCACAGTAGATGAGGGGGTCCAGGTCCATTTGGCTACAGAGGAGGTCGAAGAGGAGGAAGGTCAAGTACGGGACAGGAAAAGGAAAGAAAGAGACAGAGAGGGAGATCAGCTGTCTATTTTGACACTTTTGGTTACTGCTTTCAGGAAATCTTTGATTGGGTGCAGTACTAGTAGAGGAGAGCTCTCTTCCATGGAGATTGGATGGCCTTCCAATGTCAGCCATGTTGCACATGTTACCTTCGATCGCTTTCATGGTTTTCTTGGATTACCTGTCGAATTTGAACCCGAAGTTCCCAGAAGAGCTCCTAGCGCCAGGTCTGTTGATATGGAATTGCTGAACATGTTTGCTAACTGTATTCTGCGTAATAGGATTTGAAGAATCTTTTTCATTTATGCTTACTAGCGATGAATTTTATACACGTTATTCGATATCATATAGTTGTTTCTCTGTTCTTCGAATGCGAATGTTCCTATCTTCATGAAATTATTTCCAGAATCCGTTATAACATATATGATTCGGATTAAATTCATGCCTTGAGAATACTAATTTTACTGACGTTGTCGCTGTTGTTGGATGACCATGAAAATCCACCTTTTAAGTATTTTCTTTGAAAACCCAGTTTCAGTGGCGACATTTTTTTTTTTGCCTAAAAAATTCACTAATTGTTCTTAATCGATGCTTTTCTATAATAACAAATAAAATTGCATCATTATGCAGGTTTGTTTAATCAGATGAAAAAGGGAAATCTGGAATTCCTATTGTTGACAGGATTTGCTTGATCATCTCATCTATTGCGAAACTATGTCCAGTTTACTGCTATTTTATTTCAAACCCATTGTTTTCACATTACTAATTAAACTTGCGTGGCATTTTTGCACTGTGAAATACCCTGTGGAAGGCCTGAATGGCAGATGCCACATGCAAAAACTTCTAATTCAATGTAGTTCATGGCTCTAATAATCTCTACGGTTCTCTTGGATAAATTAAATCTGATATAGTAGGCTGCAAACAGGCCTCTGTCTTTCTTATCTGTATCGAAGGATAGTAAATCGTTGGTCACAGTTTGCATTTGTAGTACCGATATTCAATAAATTCCTGCAATCCGATATCAAAGGACAATATGAATTTTAATATGCTAAGTTGAAACCTCCTGGTGCAAGGTGAACTTACATTGCCGTTGTGGTTCTCTTATCATAGTCCTTACAGTTGAAGTCTCATAGCAGCTTGAAATTATATGCTGTGACATAGAAACAGTATTCCCCCTTACCTCCTCTCTTTTTTTGTTGAATTTTCCATTTCTGCCTTTTGTTTCCTTGTTGGTTTTGTTGTCAGTTCTTTCTTTGAAATTGTAATACACTTCTATGGAGTTTAGGCTACCAACATAAGTCAATAACTGAAATGCATACAACCCTTTAACTTTGATCCCTTGGCAAATGAGCCCCTGTAGTTATAGTCTTGGCAATCAACTGCCTAAACTTTTAACATGTAGCAAATAACCCGACACGCACTAAGAAATAAAAGAAAAGAAGGGAAAATATGTTAATTATATTTGAACTCGGTAGAACTTGATTGAAGAAGTGCACAAGTGAAGTTTTGTGAATTTATGCTGTTAACTTAGTTAAGACTCATCAATTTTGTGATGTGTTCGATCTAAAAAGCTATTTTACTGCATATAAAAACGAAACAATGGCGATTGTATTTTCACACCTGTCAACATACTCTTGGTGGTATAACTTTAATGCATCTGCTATCTATATTTAGCTGATTAATCATCTATTTATTCATCTACTTATGGCAGCATTTTCTACTTGATTCATATGGCATATCTGACGGATGCATTCATACTTAAAACTTATCATTTTATTGAGTTTTGATATATTTTATTTTATGATACACAGTGCAAGTGTTTTTGGGGTTTCAACAGAATCTATGCAACTTTCTTTTGATGCCAGAGGAAATAGTGTACCCACAATACTCCTGTTATTGCAAAGACAACTTTATGTACAAGGAGGCCTGCAGGTATTTGGCATTGCATATCCTTTCCTACCATTTTTGGTTAGTGTCTAATGTTAGATTAAACTACTTTGTTACTTAGTCAAGTATTGCTGATCAATGGATGTGAAAACTAAGTTTTATCTTATGTTCATTTCTTATTTTGCAATAAGGCTCTTATGCACTTCACTGTTTGATAACTTGAAATATTGAACCTTCACATGCAGGCTGAAGGAATCTTCAGAATTAATGCTGAGAATGGTCAAGAAGAGTATGTGAGGGAACAATTAAACAGAGGTGTAGTACCAGATGGCATAGATGTGCACTGCTTGGCAGGCCTTATAAAGGTATTACCCGGTTTATTCTTCATTTTTTATCCTGAACTGTTTGGAAAAAGTATTTATAATTAGGTTCCTGGATTATATTGTTGTAGTGCGATCTTGTGAAGTTGGCATACATTTGAAAGCATAAATTTGATCTTGTGGTGTTCTGTTGCAGGCTTGGTTCAGAGAGCTTCCATCTGGAGTACTGGACCCTCTTTCACCAGAGCAGGTGATGCAGTCTCAGTCCGAAGAAGAATGTGCTCAACTTGTAAGACTTCTTCCGCCAACAGAAGCTGCTTTGCTGGATTGGGCAATAAACCTAATGGCTGATGTTGCTCAACTGGAACATTTGAACAAGATGAGTGCACGTAATATTGCAATGGTTTTTGCACCAAATATGACTCAAGTAAGCTAATATCATGTATTTTTTGTTACACTCATCACCATTATTTGCGATTAGATTTTTAATCTGTTAAAATTATGTTAATCCTGGTGATTATATCAGCTATTTTCTTCAATGCTGTGAATTTGATCTGCTTTCATATCTTTCCTAAATTTTGGGTTATGCTGCTCTCATCATACATGTAAACTATTTCCCTTCAGTGCTAAAGCTGTGGCTGCTTTTCATTTATGTAAATTATGTTATTGATCAGTGTCCGTGGCACAATGACTGACTACAAATTCTAACGTCTATGTACTACAGATGGCAGATCCCTTGACCGCATTGATGTATGCAGTGCAAGTGATGAATTTTCTCAAGACTCTTGTCCTAAAGACACTGCGAGAAAGGGAGGAATCTATGGTAGAATCGAATCCCATTTCCAACCTAGATTCATTTGATGATGACAGGCACCAGAGCCCTTCCTGCCTGGATTTCAAGGATGGCAGTGAAGACAGAAAGGACATAAGTGAAGAAGAGGAAAAAGTCGTCGTTACCAAGGAGCCTTCTTCACAAAGCCCTAGTCACATTTCTGAAGATGGATCTGAAACTGAAAGTGGGTCGAAAACTTTGCCAATAGCTACTGCTGAATATATCATTTCTCGGAGAAACAGGCTGCTAGTTGACAGTTGCCCCTGCAATGTTATCTCTCAAGTCAGCTTAAGTGGTTTGACGAAGGCGGATCAAGTCAATGCTTGCAAGAGCAAAAACCTCCCGTTGAGCAAATCAAATACAGTGAAGTATTCCGAAAAGGTGATTGAGCTGCCACCAGTAGGCCATGCAGAGAAGAACAGGGGAATTGCCATTATTGGGCGCATAAACTCTAGAACTGAATTGGCTGAAGCTTGGCGATGAAAGGATTGGCTTTGTGTATCTCATTACCTGAACGAGGAGATGCTGCCCTACAGCCATTTCATTTCTGTGTCTATGGATATCTATTGTGAGATCACAGATGCTGAAATCTGATAGATGGTGAATAGGATAAGAAAAATGCTTGTTTGGAAATGCTTTAGTGCTGGCTTCATTTTTTTTCCTGATTCGTGTTTCTGGGTGTGAGTTTCTTAACCATGTATCTTTGTATTTCTGTAACCATGCTTGGTTCTAGCCCTTATTGTAGAGTTCAATGAATTCAGATTGACCCCTTTCTGCGCTTAGCTTCAATGCGCATGAGCTTCGAAGGCTTTGACTGTGCCACATGTTCTCTGTTTTAGAGTATGATTAGAGGAAGGGTAAGGAAAGAATTAAAGAGAAAGGATAGTTAAATGATGTGTGTGTGTGTGTGTGTGTGTGTGTGTGTTTATCTTTGCAACCGTATAAACATTTTTCTGAAGGCTTTAAAGTTGTAGTGTTAAGATGAGTATAGGTTAGAAATTAATTTGTGAAATGACATGAATAAAATATCGGGAGCTTTGGCTAAAGTGGTGGTCATAGTCTAAGGCGTACAAGACTCTGTTCACTTGGTATAATAGTTTTTCGAATTCTCGCGCTCATTATAGTGTGACATTTTCACCGAGGGGTTAAGCCAAAGGAGATAGCGGCAGCTTACCATCCATGATCCATGAAGAAAGAAAAAAAGGAGCATGATAGGTAGGTTACATAATTTTACTTGAGTTACAAATAAATTGAATAACAACTCAACAGTTATAAATACAAAAATTTTAAGGGAAAATTGATTAAAAAGACCTTGTTAGAAGGAAAATTAGTTCCACTAATCAAATATAATTGAAAGACCAAAGATAATATTTTATTTATTAAATAATTTGAATAAATGATCAAAATATTCCTCTATTTAAACTAATGAAATTAAAAAAAAAAAACAAAGGTTGTTTGTTCAACGCATATATTTCATATTAAAAGCTTTACACCTTAAGTCAAAAGCCGTGCACTCTAACTAGAAGCCTTGCACCCAAGCAATTTAAGGGTGTAAGAAATTGTTTGGGTGTAAGGCTTCTGGCTTAAGAGCTCAAGGTACAAGGCTTTTAGCTTAGGATGCAAGGTTATTGGCTGTGATGCAAGGTTTTTGATTTGGGTACAAGACTTTTGACTTGGATACAAGGCTTCTAGGTTGGATGCAAGACTACTAGCTTGGAATGCAAGCCTTTTGGCTTGAGATATATGTGTTGAACAAGCATATTTTATTTTTTCTTTTTTTTTCAATTTTATTGGTTTAAAGATAGGGGTATTTCGATCATTTATTCAAATTGTTTAATAAATAAAATATTAACTTTGGTTCCTCAATTGCATTTAGTTCTTGAGACTAATTTTCTTTCTAACAAGGTCCTTTTCATCAATTTTTTCAAATTTTAGTTTACCATAATATATATACTCCTGTGTATATAAATTTTGGTTTTATATTATGAAACTTGACTATCTTTTTTGATATATTAAAAAAACTTAACTATTATTAATTTATAATTTATATCTCATCTTTATTAAATTTCATCGCCTTATTTATTCATTTTTTTAAAAAATAATGCCACTCTTAGTTGAAGATTTTGTTTGTTTAAGATTAAGAAAATGGCTTTGTAAGTCAAGAATTAAATTATAATTGAAAAAAGATTAAAACCAACTAAAAATATTTTTATTTCTATAAAATATTTTAAAAAAATATAATTATAAATCCATATAATTTTATCAAATTTTTCTTTTAATTCTTTTTTCAGTATTTTTAACTTACTGACATTGAAATTATATAAAAATGAGTAACGTCTCCCACTTTTTTTAAAACTGTAAGAACTAAAAATATTAAAAAATTATAAGAATTAAAAATAAAATTCGATAACATTATTAAAATTAATGATTGTATTTTTCAAAAAAATTACTAAAAAGTTGATTAAAATTTAAAATAAAGATTAATATAAAATATGCATTCATCTGCACTACTTATAAAATACATAAAAAGTATATCTAGTTTAAAATGAAAATAAAATGATCGGGTAATCGAGTCTGAAATGAACTTTTTTTGCCATTACTGAAGAAATTAATCCATGGCAAAACTGAAGCTAAAATACTAGTATTTTTGTCATTAACTCATTGAAGAGTCGCCACGTGGTCAGACCAGAGAAAAAGAAACTACTGTGAACAGTGGGTCGCGTGATACAGGATTTAAAGCCCACGTTGGGCATCGTCAACGAACGGATCATTGTGGATAACACACGGAGCAGGAAAGAGAGGGAGCTCCGGCTGGCAGTCTGGCACATGGAAGCGTTACATTTCTCAACCGTTACCTCCCGCCATTTCTCCAGTTCTGCTCACTCTCTGCCTCATAACCGAAGCTTCTGCTCTACAATTCCTGCTACGAAATCAGCCAAGCTTTGCTCGTCTTGGACCTGTTCAACGACCGCTGCCGCACTTTCTTCGAAAAATTTGCTCCCAGTAAGTCTCAGAAACATTGAAGCATGACTCGATTATTTTTTTGTTTGGTTCACTTGTCTTGTCCGAGTACGTAAAAGAAGTTCAGTACTTTCGGGAACAACTTAAGATAACCGAGGCATTTGCTCCAATTTTCGTCGTTCTTCCTCACAAATTTTGTGGTGATTAGTTTTGCAAATTGCTCGCAGAATGAAATTTGGGGTTGGGTGAACTCCAAGAGCGGCATTGTCAAAAGGTACATGCGCGGTGTGGTAAGGGCGGAAATGTTCGGGCAGCTGACGAGTGGGCTTGAAGCTGCTTGGAGCAAGCTCAGAGGAGAAGGTTTGAATCTTCAAGTCTCAATGCTGTGTGTGCTCATTTTTTTATCATCCTGCATTCCTAGCTTACTATTTCTCCATGGTAATGGTAAAATTTAGAGTTTTTAATTTGTTGACATTACCAACACGCGTAGCGGAAGAGTAAAACCCTAAAGAAATTAGAGTAGCTACAAGTGATTCCGTGTGAAGTTGTTCAGGCTTTTGATATGACCAAAAGATCAAAAGGTATGCGGCAAGTTGGGAGTTGAAACACAGCAAACGGCATTCATGACTTGTTTGTTCATCTTGATTTTGGAGCTTTCATTTTTAAAGCTAACTATTTCTTGTTGTTTCCAACCTTATTCAATATGTAAATTATCTACGAGTAAATGTGCTTGTGATTCAGAGGTTTTGACTAAGGAGAACATTGCGGAGCCTATGCGAGATATTAGGAGAGCTCTTTTGGAAGCAGATGTAAGATAATCTCAAGAGGTTTGGAATTTTACTATATCTTCATAAAAATGATCGAGTAAAACACATTCTGTTTGCAGGTGAGCCTTCCTGTTGTTAGAAGATTTGTGCAAGCCGTCAGTGATCAGGCTGTGGGTGTTGGCCTGATTCGAGGAGTGAGACCAGATCAGCAATTGGTTAAGGTAAAATTATGGATTGAGTTGATAATAAATCGTACAAACAGATGATAACAGTTAGTTTTAGGGGAAAACTTATTATAATAGTGTCTTTAGGAAGCTCATACTGGATGTTCGACTTAACAGATTGTGCATGATGAATTAGTTAAATTGATGGGTGGAGAGGTCTCTGAATTGGTTTTTTCCAAGGCCGGGCCCACTGTCATTCTATTGGCTGGACTCCAGGGAGTTGGGAAGACGACTGTTTGTGCAAAGTTGGCAAATTATCTTAAGAAACTGGTGCACTGGCAATCTCCCTTCCACTTACTTTCTTTGATTTATATTTTTAGTTTGTTTGCAGGTAATACGTGATTGTTTATCTTATATTGACTCAAGTCCTCTTAACTGGAACCATAGGGGAAGAGCTGCATGCTGGTTGCGGGAGATGTGTATAGACCTGCTGCTATTGACCAACTAGTTATTTTGGGTAAACAGGTACTATGATCGAATTCCTTTAAAGTTGACTAGTTTCAATTCCTAGAGCAACAAACATCTATTTGATACTATCAGAGATGTTAAGCAACTATCTACTTAAATTTACTTTTTTGCGTGGACTCCTTTGCCTAGCTACTTTTGCCTTTTTCAATAACAAAGCACAGTAGTTTTTTCCGCCTGAAATAAGAACCTTTGGAAGTGGGTTTTTTTTTTCATGGGTTTCTGAACCTCTCTCTCTCTCTCTCTCATTAGCATTTTCTCCTCTTTGCAATTGCCTGTGTGTTTAATTATCTTTTGGGCTCTTAAAATATGGAAGAGACGGCTTGTACATTCTGCATATCTCACATAATTCTTAATCAGGTGATTTCAGACCATAGATACCGATATCAAATTATCAGAGTTGACATTGTGACTCTATTTTATTTTTCTACGAGCATTTTTATGCCTAATCATATATTCATGATGAGATATAGCTTGTATCAGGTGGATGTGCCTGTCTATACAGCACGTACTGATGTTAAACCATCCGAAATTGCTAAACAAGGTTTAGAAGAGGCAAAAAGGAAGAAAATTGATGTGGTTATTGTTGACACTGCTGGAAGACTTCAGGTAATTCTTTATAATATGGGAAGTAATAGTAAATAATCATATTCATGATTCTGGTGTATTTTATGAAGTTATTTTTGTTTCTTGATTAATGTTAATTTGTTATAAAACAGATAGACAAAGCGATGATGGATGAGTTAAAAGAAGTAAAGCAGGCAATAAACCCTACAGAAGTTTTGCTAGTTGTGGATGCAATGACTGGCCAAGAAGCAGCAGGTATTCATAATTGTATTTTTACCCTTTGGTGAAACATTTTTAAAGCCTGCATTGCAATAGAATATTACCTTCATACTTGTGTCTAATGTATAATATATCCATTACTCCATCTGTTTGGACTGAGCACAATAATTTTATATGAAATCATTTTTGGAGAAAAATTTTATCATGTTGTTGATCCTACTTTTATCTGTCTTTCTATGGTTGTGTAAATGATATAGCTGATAATATCATGACAGACTGACGCTTAAAGCTACTAAAATAATCTGGCTCCACAATTTTCTGCAAACAGGCTTGGTCACTACTTTCAATCTTGAGATTGGGATAACAGGTGCCATCTTGACAAAGCTAGATGGAGATTCAAGAGGTGGAGCAGCTTTAAGTGTCAAAGAGGTTTGCTTTGTTTCTCTCTTAGCTTTTTTTGGGAGGTGTATGGCTTTATTTTGTATGTTGTACTGCCAAACATAGGTCTTTGCTTTCATAAACAATGTATCCAATTGCATGCTAGAACTTTCAAGATCACGTGCCTCTCTAATGACCTTAAATTGTGTCTTCCTGGCTGTTGTTGCTGTTGCTTGATGCAGTGTGTCAATTATGCTGAGACTGGGTTAATGTCCTAGGCTCCTTTTTGTGAAACAGTTTCGTTGAAATGTTTGTGGCAGCTTGGAAAAGTTGATAGCCTTTTCAGTGACTAATCTTAATGGTTGACCTCTTAGTCTACTTTGATGTGGTTCTCTTAAAGATGGATTTGAAGCACATTTTATAGCATTGTGTTAGCCTAGTGAATTCCTGAAAAATATTCTGGAAATTAACTATGAGATGTTAAAAATAGCTTCCAGGGACTCTGGGCTGTATCCTGGATCCCATCTAGCGAGTGTAAGTACCTATTGCAGATTTTCTCAAGGAGATAGATACAGCTATACCTATGCCCCTTGGCTTTAAAGCATATTATCAAAGGATCCTCATAAGCCCATTGTAACTGGAATTATTTTCAAGTAACAAAATATACCCATAGATGATTCATGGGATCCTTTAATTAGGGTAGCTATTTGTTTCCTCTTAGTGACATTTATCATCACCATATTTTTTTTAGCTTATTTGGAATTGTAAGGTGACCAGCATAATTAATTATTGTCAAGTGCTCTCTCTCTCTCTCTCGTACAATTTATCTTTATTGGATTGTACAACAATGGCAGGTATCTGGAAAGCCCATTAAACTGGTAGGACGTGGAGAACGCATGGATGATCTTGAACCCTTCTACCCTGATCGAATGGCAGGGCGAATATTAGGAATGGGAGATGTTCTATCATTTGTAGAGAAGGCGCAAGAAGTTGTGAGTTTCTTGCATGTTCCTAAGTTGTTCATTTGATAGAATGAAAATAAGATTTTAGGTTCTTAACCACATATATTTGTAGATGCGTCAAGAAGATGCTGAAGAACTGCAAAAGAAGATTATGAGTGCGAAGTTTGACTTTAATGATTTTCTAAAACAAACTCGTGCTGTAGCAAAAATGGGTTCTGTGTCTCGTGTCATTGGAATGATTCCTGGCATGGGTAAGGTATGAAATTTAGCACGAGTTTTCCCAATTATTTCTGTCATTGATAGTTTTATGCATGCGCTACTGCAAATACAATGGGAAATAAGGGAGATGTCTTTTGAACTTTACAAAACTGAAAATTGCACATTGCAAGCACCTGGTAATTTTTCTCAACTGTATTTGTCCTTTTGTTTCTGTGGATAAATTAAAAGAAAAATATTAGTGAAATGAATAAGCAAAAACTTATGTTTAACTATCATTTAATTTTATGCAACCAGATTACTCCTGCACAAATTCGAGAAGCAGAGAAGAGTTTAAGGCTCATGGAAGCAATGATAGAAGCAATGACCCCTGGTCTGTTCTCTTTCTGATCAATGAAGTCATATTTGTTAACTAAACCTTGTATCATTTTCATCAATATAGCATTGTCCTTTAACATGGGAGTATTTGGAGTAAATTAGAAACTGGACTTAGCACTGGATGATGTGCTATGACCTGGTTTACCTTTGTCATTTAATCCATTACTTTTTCCTTTTGTTGCTTGTTCATTTCTCTAACAAAAGTGATGGGTCATGTCTATCGAAACTTAAGTGTTTAAGGATATGTTGTGAGTTATCTAACCACAATTTATTTTGTACTTGAACACGAAATCAATCCCCCTCAGTGTTGCATTATTCATCAAGCAAGTTTTCCTGGTTTTGCAATCAATACTTAATCCCTTTTCCACCTGAGTTCTTTTCTCGGACATATTATGTTTCCATTTATATGCTTTTCACATTCATAAGCTTCAATGCTCGTATTTAGCATGTTCCTATTCTTATAGGAATCGAATTACTCTAGGTATTAATGATAAATCAAGCTATATATATATATATATATATTATAGCACATTGTTGTCATTAATTTCATGCAAGTTTTAATATCTTTATTCACGTGGCAATGGTAGACTCCCTTGATAAGATAAATATCCTGAACAAATTGCAAGGAATACATGCACGAGTGCTGGTAACGACAGCTTATTGATGTTTACTATATACATATTGTCATGGGGAAAAACAGTTGCAGCTTTGATGACTTAAGTTTCACTTTGTTGAATCTACATTGACTGGTTCATTCCATCTAACTTTTCTTGTTTATTTCCAGAGGAGAGAGAAAAACCAGAGCTCTTGGCAGAATCTCCTGCCAGGAGGAAAAGGGTAGCTCAGGATTCAGGGAAAACAGAGCAGCAGGTACGTGGAACTGATATTCTTTGAAGCATTTACTGTAGGAGAGCCTAAAGGTGTGGTTTTCCTCTCAGTGTGATGCTTGAACAGAATATCTTAATAATGCCAGGTAAGCCAACTTGTGGCTCAGCTCTTCCAAATGCGTGTGCGTATGAAAAATCTGATGGGTGTGATGGAAGGGGGATCTATCCCAACACTTAGCAATCTTGAGGAGGCACTTAAAACGGAGCAAAAGGTAAAAATCCATTTTCTGTGCATGTGATATTCTTAGGAGTTAGAATCTTATAGTTTTTGGATGTGAAAACCTCTTCTACGCTGTCCTTTCGGGCATCTCCGATGTGTTAAGATCAAAATCTACAATTGCTGTTGGCCCTGTTGCAAATTGGTCTCGTAGTTGATTTAAATTCACCCGTTGAATTTGATTTGAATTAAAATGCATGTGAAGTTCCAATCAACCTTTGGCAGGGTGCCAAAGTACTACGACCTTGTACAACTTTGGACCTTTAAAGTCCAATTAAACTTACAGAATTACTGGTATCAATTGATCAATTGAATATATAAAAAAGAAAAATAAAAATAAAGGAGGAAAAATATTGAATTTTGTGCTTATATTTGTGTGCATATGTTGAGATGAAAATTTGACGCCTTTTGGTTTCTCCATTCTACCATACAAGGCTCCACCGGGTACTGCAAGGAGGAGGAAGAGATCGGAAGCAAGAAGGCAATTTGCAGACTCTGCATCAACAAGGCCGAGTCCTCGAGGATTTGGGGCTGGAAATTGAAAATATCACTATCTACTTGACATTGTAGTGCAAAGTTTGGTTCAAACGGTCATCAGCATTCGACTGTTTGGTTGATATTACTTCTTTCCCTGAGATATTTAGTACGTTCACATGAGAAAATCAATGCTTATGAGCTCCCACAGAGTTTGATGTAATTTTGGCAGAAATGATTAGGATGTGGAAATCTGGGCCAGAGTGTAATTCTTGTACAATCTTAATTATATATCTTATGATGTTATGCTCACGGGGACTATCCAGAAGTTTTCACTTGTATTTCCGGCCTTCGAGTCTGGAATTGTCCCCATATTTGTTGGATTGAAATGTATGTATGGTATACCAATATGATTTGATCCAACTCAATTCAAGTAAGTCAAGAATGCGACTTCCAGAAAATATTAGGTAAAATTGGAACAAACACTTCTGATGTTATTTGATGCACAATAATTTCCATGTGTGTCATAGATCTGCATCTCTTGGAATTAATAAACTTCTTGAATCTTATTAATCAAGGAAAGAAATAGGGGAAATGAGGGGGAAAAAAAACCTTGAAATATATAAATGGCAATGAGATTCAGCTAAATGTCATAATTTTTCTCAAGTGCTTGGGAATCTTTCTGATGTTAATGATTTTTGATAAAATAATTAAAGTACTTCCAGTTTAAAATAAATAAAATAACAACTCTGGCCTCCAAAAGAATACATATTGACTGTTTTAGTTTAAGTAATAATTATTTTTTTTATTCATAACTATTACAGCTTAAACAATGCCTACTTTTCTTTTATTAATGACTAAAACAAAATAAGCAACTATAACTTTTCTTATATAATTTTTGTTCACTTGTAATTCCTTATTTTGTTTTAGTCATTACCCAAAAAAAAGAATTTAATGCTTAAACTAAAGTGGTCACATAGATATTTATAACACTTGAATTTTAGTAAATAAAAAATTTGCACAAAAAAATTGTGACTACTCATTCCATTTTAATTATTGCTAAAAGAAAAATAGTCATTGTTTAAATTTAAGTAGTAACTGATATTTATTTTTTTGGGAATCAGAGCTGTTGCTTTTTTTAAAAAAATTAAATTAAAGGTATTTTAGTCATCTTAGCAAAAATCAGTAGTGTCAGAAAAGTCTCTAAAAATTTAAGAAAATTTATGACATTTTGCAAGACCTTATTATCATTTACATATTTTATAAGAATTTTTCTGTCTTTTTTTCAAAGAAATACGAAAACGATTGGTATTGGTATTATATAAAAAATGCATGCATGTCATGAGGACGTTAGCCGTTAGGAGTTTCAATTTTATATTAACCATAGTGAAAATAATGTTGCACGGAGCAAAGATACAGCCATAGAGGAGCTTTACGGTCATACGTATCTCTTACCACAGCAAGCAAATAATTGGGAAAAAAAGAGAGAGGACATTTTCATTCCTGAATGTTAAATTGTAACAGGGAAAATTTCCGCTAGTTACCTTTGATCTAACGTAATTTCAGTTAATCCTTCAAAACACTGAAATTTCATATCATAGCTGGGGATTGAAATGAAATTAAAGCGATAACTCAGATGACTTTTTTATCCTTAGCGAATGTAGGTGAATAAACAACTCGTATAAAAAAATAAATAATTAATATATGAAAAATAAACAATTGATTGATATAAGTAGAATTTGTAACTTTCATTAATATTATAACACCCTATGAATTTACTACTTTTATTCCACCAATGTCAATTGTTTATTTTACATACATTAGTTGTTTACATGTTTAACTTCATAAAAAACAATTAGGTCATTTAAGTCATCTTTTTAATTTCATTTCATTTTCTCAAATTTGAAGTAAAAATTTCAAGGTTTTGAGCAACTGATTGAAATTATGTTGGATTAAAGGGGCTAATTGAAATTATCCTAATTTTATAATAAGTATACTTTCGCAAAAGATTAGCATCAAAGATTCCTAAAGTTAGCGAGAAAGGAGAGGAATTTCGTCAAACACCCTCAAAACCATAACGGCCTCAACATTCAGAACACGGCCACGTGTCGATTAAGGGATGAACAAAACTTGTTGGCATTGATTGATTTTGGCGATCCATGGTGAAGCCATAATCAAGAAAGCACTCTTTCCTCCATTTCTCTCCTCAATTCGACCATAACCATTTAAACAAAGCTTGCTTCAGAGCCTCTGAGAAAGAAAATGGCAACGCCACTCGAGAATTCAGATAAAACGTTTCCCCCTGCAGATATAGACGGTGAATTGAATCCCGAAGCCAATAGGCAAGTTCAAGTTGATCCTATCTCATCTGAGGTTGCCGCCTTCAACAAGGTCATTTTTTATTTTTTCTGATAAATTAAATCGCAGCTATTATTCTTTGAATAAATTTGATTTGCATAGATTAATAAGGATTAGTGCCTTGCATATATGTTGTATTGATTTGTTTTATTGGATGAAGGAACAAGCGGAAGCCAAACTGAAGAAGGAGAGGGAGCAGAAGGAAGCCATGCGCACACTAAAATCTGCCATTATAATTGCAGGCATAGTTGCAGCTGTGGCTGGAGCTGCCTTTGCCATAACCAAGAAGCTAAAAGAGAAATGACCTTCCCCAAGGATATAATTATCAAAAGATTTATATAAATATCAGATTAGATAGCAATCTAAGTTGCTTTTGGCCCCCCCCAATTTTTTCTTTTTAATTGTCAAGTCTCTTTCTTTTGTTTGATTTGCTCACAAGCAGAGGTTCTTACAAACAACGCCTCTACTCCGAAACATTGAAACATTGATATTATCTGCCTTGAAATGAAGTTACCTAATATTTTTTAATCTATGTCCCCACTATTTGGAAGGTCAATTTTTTATCTGGGAGAAGGAAAAATGTAAGCATACTTTTTAAATGCCGAGTCTTAGGAAATATCCTCCTCAATATTCAAAGTTTAAAAGTATTCTCTAAATTATTATTGTAATATTGTTTTATGATTTATTTATTTTTATTCAAGTAATGCCACGATTGAAATGTCGCCACTTGAATATCAATAATATCAGTATATGAATATGAATATACATAATATAAGTCATACTCATCTCAAACTATCATAAAGTTCTAGTTATGTTGTGGGGAGAGTTCTTCTCTCTTGTAAGTCCGTGCTGTCTTCCTTCACCTTCTGCAAAGTTTGCTTTCTAAATTCATGTAACAGCATCTCATCCTAGATGGAGTTTGAGTTCTTTCAGTTTTCAGATACAGAGCATAAAAGATTGTATTATCATCACTATCTCTTTGCTAGATTGGTTGACAATAAAAAGATTCATCGTTTGAAGCTTCAAACACTCGTTAGCATGTATTGGAGACTTCAAGGCTAGGTTCGAATTGTTCTATACTATAGGAACTACTTTCTGCTATGTTTTCACTCAACTTCGGACTTGGAGCACATATGACATAGGGTATTGAGGTGGAACCTTGCTAGTTATAAGTAAAATTCTAAAAAAAAAACAAACACAAAAACACAAGGAAAGAAATGAGAATATAGAAGAACAAGAAGAAGGAAACATAATTACAGAAAAGAAAAGATAAAGATTAGGGAGAAGATTTTTTAAAGCACTTGCCTTTAGTAATCTTAATTTTTGAAGTTTGTTACGGGATTCCAATACAAGTATTAAGGCTCATAAAAGTTATAAACCCTAACTATAAGGATAATCTTGTTAATTAATAGGTCTTAGATTACAAGGAAGAGAAATACACCTCTATATAGGTAAGGATAAGACTCAAAACCCTAATTAATGCCCTAAATTTGAAAATATAAATAAAATATTAAGCCACATAATTTTAGAAATTGTGTTTTCTTAAATTATGGGATTATAATAGCCAAAACTTCCCAAATTGTTAAAAGTAATCTTGAATTTAATAAAATAAAAAACTAAATGTAAGACTCTAATTTTCCTAATTACTGAAAACAAGAAATAGGAAACTAAATAGTCTTTGATTCAAAATAAAAGGAAACAAATCAGGTTCTCCACAAGAATAGGAAAGCATGTGTGGACTAAATCTTGAGCAATCAAGGAGGTCCTCAAAGTCAATGAGAGATCACACCAATCTTGCTCCTTATCTAATTAATTGATGACTCCAAAGACACGTATTAATGCTCCTTGACTAGCTCCTTGGACGCCTCTTGCACTCCTCTCCCCTCAATCACATACTTGTCACATATTGAATTAAGTAAACTAGGGTTTTGACCAAATGAACTTGGGCCTTCTTGGACTTGGATCTTTAGCACAATGAACACACATAAAACCTCTTTTTTGGCTTCAAGGGTGTGCTCCATATGGGTTTAGTTTTTAGACATCCTTAATGAGACATGTAAGGCTTACTTCATAGTTTTGATTCGTGTTCTGGTCATTTGGCCTCTAATGCAAAAGATCTTTTAGTACATTAGACTTGAATTGTTGGGCTACCTTAGCTCTATCCATACCTTAGGCTCCTTGCTCTATCACACCATGCTCAAGCTCTCCAAGCTCTTTTGCCATGTCATTAGTGTTTTGTAGGCCATAGTCCATCAACGTGTATACTATTGGACCATGGATTCTTCAAGGACCTCTTATAGTTTTCTAGATATGGTCTCTATTCACTACTCTTAATAAAGTTTGAATATCTCATACACCTTTATGGGTCCATGCAACGGGTCTTCATATGGATCTTTACTCATCTAATATAGCTCAGCTGATTGGATTGACTCTTAGTTCTTTCTTATAGTTTGATGAAAGAAGTTTATATATGTCTTATAGCTTGCAATTCAAATTTATGCTAAATCTTAATGAACCTTATGAGTTAGAGGACTTATTTCTTTACTTACAAGTTTTTCTACAAATTTCTTGCTCCACTATGAATGAGTTGTTCGTATCTATTTTACTTGACAAAGTATTGGTCATGCTCAGCAGTGTTGTCCTCATCAACATTCATGATTTAAAACCTTTACTTTGGAACCTATATATACTTGTGGCTAGTCTAACTATTCTATAAGAGTTGCTTTCCATTGAATAAGTTTTTCTTACTCAATAAATGACTCACAGATAGCTCAAATGTGCAAAGTTTCTAGTTCGACTCATTTCATTATAATCACTGATGTTATTTCAGATGGTGTTCGAAGCACTCTAATCACGTTACAAAGTTCTTATCGAAATGGATAATTCAGGTTAAGGAACTTCCACATGATCTCTTCATAGGTTGTGAAGATCAAAAAAGACACTATATATGTCCCATTGCATGTTAATGACTCACTAATTTTTATATATTTTAAATAGATTTTATTAGCAATTAGAGAGTTATCACCTTTCTTTTGGATAATTTCAAACTTGTTTAATCATTATAATTTGCTAGTATTTTTTGAGTAAAATGAGTGGTGCTTGTGTTTTAGTGGACCCAACAAGATGAGAAAAGAAATTGAAGAAAGAAAAATAAGTAAAATTATAAAAAAAATCAATAATTTGAAGGGTGGCTGTGGCTCTTGCCATAGCATATATGTGTTGCAAAACAACAAAGAAATAAAAGATAGCGAGGCATGCGTGACATTAATTTTTCTTGGCTTTAAGTCATGGGAGGCTAGGATTTCAACAATTTTGACGTTCTGAATAGTTTCTAAGGTTAGAGAGGCAATTTTGTAGCTCCAACAAAGGTGATGGAGGTGTTTTTAAAGATTGGAGAGTGATTTAAATGATTCTTGAGTAGATTTTATGGAAACTCTTCTCTTCTACTTTATGTCTCCCATTTTTTATGTTGACTTTGAATTTTTATGCACATTCAAAGCCACATGTGGCTAATGTTGTTTAGCTCTTGAGGATTCTATGAATATTTATACTTTGTAGATAGATTTTTCTTTGGTAATGGATGCTTTAGCGTTTAATATGAATTTCTTTATTCGCATGCTATTGAATGACCAACTCTAGTATGTGCTTGGATTTTAAAATTCACCTTTAAGGGGGTTGCATTTAGACTATTTATTAAGTAACATAGGGTTATAATTTATCTAATTTGTACCTAAGATAGACATATACTTAAGAGCCCTAAGTAATTTTTATAAGGATTGTGCGTAATTAATCTTGACTTGCACGAGATATCATAGCATAGTTATAATGGGTTTTTATGATCAACAAACACTTAAATCTAAATTAGAGCCTTGATTCTAAAGTGAAAATTAAACTCAATAACTAGAAGAAATTGAATTGCAAAATATAAACAGGATTATAATTCCTAAGGTGTTTCTTGATTGCTTATTTTACCTCAAGCTTATTGTTATTGCTTTTATTTGAATTTAATTTTTAGTTCATAAAAACTTTACTCTTTGATTGATTTGCTCAACTAAGATGAAATTGAATTTCTTTTAATTTGTAATCCTTGATTATTGTTTGTTTTTTTTACCTGAACTATTATATTAGGAAGGCATTTGAATTATATAATTTTGAAACAATATAAAAGCAATCTGTTAGTGTGTTTGGCAAAAACTAATCAAAGTGCAATGTATTCAATTATGACTGTCTAGTTCCATGTCTGTGGTTCACTTAGTATTATCTATGAATTGTGTTTATGTAGCATTATCCTGCCTTTTTCATTTCAATCTCTACTTATGAATAGGAAGCAAAAAATTAGAGGTCAAATGACAATTGTAGATTAGATTCTCAAATTTGACCATTCCAACAGTGGCCATAAATTAGCAAAAAATCTTGTTAAAAACTATTTTTTTAAAAAAATATGCCGCCTATATTATACTTTCTATTTGAAAGCACAATACTATCACTAAGGTGAAAAACAACATACTTGCTTTGTGATTATTAAAATGAATCATAATTAGACAAGTCATGTATACCAAGCACTCCCTAATCTGTAGAATCCATGAATTATGCTTTTGGCATGCAATAAGTGGGCTTATGAATTGAGTGGAATTTTAGGTAACATTTCTTTTTAATAGCCATGGTTCTACATAGATTTAGATCAAGCCATATGGTTTTGGATGACAACCCAAGGGAACAAGCCATCTAGCAATGATGTGATCATCAAAAGATTTTGTAGAATCATTAAGAGGGTTTATCCTCTTTTTGTCTTAAGCCTTAACAGAAGACATTGAAACAAAGCAAGAAAGGATCAGAGTAGAAAATTATCCAAATTTAGATTAGATTTTGGGTTTTCAAAAACAAGTAGTGAAAATGAAGCTGAAGGAACAACAAGTCATGTGAGAGGGTAAGTGTAAAATCCCTCACTACTAAACACAATTAACTAATCAAATTCATAGTAATCAAATGATTAACCTATTTAAGAGATTACCAAGTTTTAGTTTTAAAATAAGGGATCCCAAGTTTTCATAATTAAAATGAGTTTAAATCAATCATAATTTCTTATATCAAAGTAAAAACAAGTTACGGAAGCACAAGATATCTTAGAAGAGTGAAAAAGAATGAAAACAATTAAAGAACAACTTATCAGCTACAGAATAAGGCAAAGCATCACGGCTTATGCTTATGCACGCTACGCCAAGCACTGCAGCTTAGGCGCCTATGTGCCACGACGTGTTGCACATTAATGACAGTAGAATTGGGAAACTTTCAACGCGCCCTAATTTTTCGTCCGACGTCTAAATGACATATTTAGGTGTCTACGAAAAGCTCTCTTTATAAACTAACTAATGGTATGAGTTTTACTTCCAAAACAAGTCACACTAGGAAGTTGTCAAACACAATTTAACCACTTTTTACAACTTTCACACATAAAAGGGTGTCCAAAAGCCACAACAAGTGCCAAAATCTACTCCTAACACCCAGACCATGTTTATTAGACTTAGGACTACCAGTACAACACGTTGTATGCACTTAAATATCAATATAATACAAAATCACTCCCCAACCCTTTTTTCACCAAAAACAGAAGGGGAAGGTATTTTGCCTTGCATTGCATCAAAACCAATCACAACAA